CAGCCTGTAACGTGAGTGCCGGGGAGTCATACACACTGCACCTGCCTGCTCAGCCTGTAACGTGAGTGCCGGGGAGTCATACACACTGCACCTGCCTGCTCAGCCTGTAACGTGAGTGCCGGGGAGTCATACACACTGCGCCTGCCTGCTCAGCCTGTAACGTGAGTGCCGGGGAGTCATACACACTGCACCTGCCTGCTCAGCCTATAACGTGAGTGCCGGGGAGTCATACACACTGCACCTGCCTGCTCAGCCTGTAACATGAGTGTCGGGGAGTCATACACACTGCACCTGCCTGCTCAGCCTATAACGTGAGTGCCGGGAGTCAAACACACTGCACCTGCCTGCTCAGCCTATAACGTGAGTGCCGGGAGTCATACACACTGCACCTGCCTGCTCAGCCTGTAACGTGAGTGCCGGGGAGTCATACACACTGCACCTGCCTGCTCAGCCTGTAACGTGAGTGCCGGGGAGTCATACACACTGCACCTGCCTGCTCAGCCTATAACGTGAGTGCCGGGAGTCATACACACTGCACCTGCCTGCTCAGCCTGTAACGTGAGTGCCGGGGAGTCATACACACTGCACCTGCCTGCTCAGCCTATAACGTGAGTGCCGGGAGTCATACACACTGCACCTGCCTGCTCAGCCTGTAACGTGAATGCCGGGGAGTCATACACACTGCACCTGCCTGCTCAGCTTTCTGATCATCAGCGCATTTGAATGAGCACGGCGCTACTTTATCCATGAGGTTGGATTTCTCTGGGCCAGAACTGAAAAGAAGTTAGTATCATGCTACGTGTAGTTGCAGTGTGTGACTTGAGTAGTAAGTATAAAGTCACACCTGATTGTAAGTCGCACCCCGTTCTTCAACCTTGGGGTTTATTGTAAACCAGTGTGATTGACATTCTTGGACATGACGTGTGTGTGTGTATGTGCGTGCGTGTGTGTGTTTGTATGTGTCATAACATTGCAGGCTGTTACAACTGCGGCATGGTCGGTCATATGAGCCGGGAGTGTCCCAATGGCAGCCAGGGGGCAGGTTTCGGTCAGCAGGGAGGATTCGGTCAGCAAGGAGGGTTCGGTCAGCAAGGAGGGTTCGGTCAGCAGGGAGGATTCGGTCAGGAAGGAGGGTTCGGTCAGCAGGGCGGATTCGGTCAGCAAGGAGGACCTGGTCAGCAAGACGGATATTGAATGTGCTCCGTGGCAGTGAGGATCAGCTGTTGCCAAACTGGCTGTTCTTGCCACGTACCTTCTGCATCTTGAATGATCAAATGGTTTCCTTTTTTAGATTCCGATTAGATTGCACTCACCTTTTGTCAACTGGGTGCATTTTCATCAGCCAGGTGCGCAATGTATCTACATTCCAGGTATTCACTGCCAGAATCACTGGCTGCCTTCTGCACCGACGACACCAGGACATTGTCTGTGGAGCAGTGCTACTGTGTGGTTAGCTGAGTGCTTTCGAAAGACACGCACAGGCCATATGGACTTTTATCGGGCAACACAAGCTACCAGTGCCAGCACATGCATTGCGATGTCTTCCTGTTCTAGAAGTGTCATTGTTTCGTACAGTTGTGTTTTCTTTAGGTTCTGAGTCTTCTCACTCTTCTTTTGACTTTTCAAAGTTTTCATTCGTTCGCACCTATAACCAACCTGAGTGAAAATCTAGAAAATTTCGGATGCGTATTTCTTTCAATATTTCCCAAAATTTGACAATGTCTATGGTCCGAAAGAAAGTTTCAGCATGTAGGGCCGAACCAAGTGTTGGTGGTAGCAGTTAGCACTGGTATTGCAGTAAAACTCCCCTAGGCTAATCCAGGCACGTCTGTCTACCGGCACCTTTCCGACCCGTCTAGAGATGGAAAAATGGCTTTTCAACGCAAAACGGCCCCAAAAGTGTTGATTGGCGTAAAAAAAATGGTTTACTTTCATGCAGCAGTAGCATTTATAATTATTACTGTAAAACATGTAAATATAACGAGGAAGCAAATCTAACGTTTTAACGAGTTACATTTCCTCGTTATAATAAGTTCTGTTGAGGCTGTAAGTGTAAGGCCACATACAGTCAACTTCGCTTATAACGACACTCGGCGGGGCATCAAAAACGTGTCCTTATTCGCGAAGTGTCGTTATACCCGAAGTCTCATTATGTATCACAGTGGGATGGGACTTTGGTCTGGGCATTGAAATTCTGTCGTTATTCGCGAATGGTCGTTATATCCGCAGTCGTTATTAGCGAAGTTGACTGTACGTGATATGAGCAGGTATGCCTGAAGACAGAATCGGTATCGTATGTTCTTGTTAACCTATGGATTTTGGACAATCGTTAAATTTGCGACTCGTTATAATAACATGTCTTACAGTATAGTGTTTCTCAAGAATTGTATAAGCGATTGTTTACTTTGATACTGCCCGCAGCAAGTACGCAGTTGGTATGTACAAAAGTCAATCGCATAGCCTCTTTGGACAGATTCTCTCACTGTTTCCTGCAGGGAGTCCTACAGACAAGGGTTTGTTCAAATCCCAGCATGTAATTGTTACAAGGCGGAGGACGCACTGTGTTGAAAACAGTGCTCCTGACTACAACCATCATCGGTTGGCAGAGCCCCGGTACTGCGACCGTTTGAACCATGTTGTGGGGTCTAGCCCTGGTCCGACCCTCATGAGTCATGATACATACGGTTCAAATGGTCGCAAGACTGGAGCTCTGCCAACCGATGATGGTTGTACTTGTAGTAATATAGACAGGAGCACTGTTTTACCTATACCTTTCTTGTATACTGTAGGGGTGTCTGCAGGCGGCCGGGGGGGGGGGGGAGGTACTAGTATGTACAACCATGGTTTATTTAAATATGGACTGCACATTTTTATTTTATTTTATTTTATTTATTTCACCGTCCAATGCCAATGGCAGAAGCCAATGCAAAGGATCAGGAGGGGGGCGTTAGCCAGCCATGGCAAGAGAAGAAAAAAAAATGAAGGAAAGAAGATGATAATCGGAAGAAAATAATGCATCAGCGGGGTGAAATGTATCACTACAGTCCATTCATAAAAAAATGGGTCCTGGCTCTGGCGAGCTCCCGTATTTGGCGATTTTTCGTGATTTCATCGTACACAGTGCAGTGCTGCGAACTTTGAAATTTGAAAAAGGGTCCAAAAAGGGTGCCTGAACTGGGGTTCGAACCGCAGAATGCACTGTTGCAGGCGGGGTCAAACGGCCTGCATTTTGATGGTTTTTCCCAATTCAGTGCTTTTGGGGCAAAACCTGGCCGAAATCCTATTCTTGCTATGGCTTGCTTTTTGGACAAAAAAACTTCAGAAACATAATTGGAAGAGGATTCCATATGGGATTGCAGAAAAAAATTCTAAAAAAACTCAACGTTTGACCCATTTATGGCCAAAAGCTAGAAGTTCATTTTTTTCTGAATGGACTGTAGAGAGGTTCTGCACAACGAAAATTCGAACGAAGTTTCGCGACAGGTCTTGCGAAAATGTGTACGAATTTTCGCACGAACTTTGTGTTCTGCACATTTTCGTAGTTTGCATCAGGGAGTCGTAAAATACCTGTTTGCATGCGCCAAGTGCACGTAGAGTCTACGCCATGATCCGATCTCACGAAACTTCCTACGAAAGTTCATTTCGCGTTCCCTGCAAGTTTCGCGTCCAAAGTTGCGAAAGTTCGTGCGAAGTTTCTCACTTTGTGACGTAGAGCGAAAGTTCGTACACATTTTCGTTTTGCAGAACCTCTCAACTATGTTGATACATTTGTGGTCAAAGAAATCCGACCCATGTCAAGGGTACATCATCCGAATTATTTTGTCCAAAATTGAAACTCAAAAAGTGAAAAAAACGGTCAAAATGTTTTAAGAAAATTCAAAAAATCCCCCAAAATGCAGAAAAAATTCGATGCATGTACTCAGATTGTTCTCGAGCATCAAGATTCAAATCCAAGAAATGATGCTATGCGAAAAATATTCAAAAAAATATTCAAAAAATCACTCAAAACCCAAAAATTATCTACCCGTTGCCATGGCAACGATGACGTAACATGATGCATGACAGCAAGAGTACATGAAAACCAGGGAGTCGTATTTTACGACTCCCTGATGAAAACCATGTACTCTTGATGACAGCGCTAGCGCTAAGCTCAGATCAGAGGCCACGTAGATCTACATACATGCGCCATGCACTGAGGTTGCAATTTTTCAGGCCCAACGACGTGCATGGCACATGATCGGTGCTTTTGGTCCCTCCGATTTCCAAAGAGGTAAAAAGGGTAGAATTTTGCAAACATTTCCGGGAGATTGTGGAATTTGGGAAAATTCACGGAAAACAGCAAAATTCGAAAAAAGTCCAAAGATCCAAAAAACACCCCATAAAAGATAATCTCGGATGGGTTTTCGGAGTGTGCATGATGTACGAGTAATTGAACTGAAATGCGGCGCTACTCTTGACTGGGTCGGATTTCTTTGGTCATGGCTGTACGAGTATGTATAACTATAACAGTCGGTATAACCAGGGAGTCGTATAGGGTCTATACGACTCCCTGGTATAACTTATAAGCACAAAGTTTCGTTTGGAATTAACTTTCGTTTGGCCAGGGGCACGAAATAACTAGAGTTTGTACCAGGGAGTCCTCAAAATACCATTTTGACGACTTCCTAGATCCCTGGTTTGTACTGTAGTACCACTACTGGCACTAGCACTGACGACTGGCTCTCTCTGACCCGGGGTACCCCTCTTGAGCGGTTTATTATCAATCCGAACAAAAATTAAAAATTAAAAATGTGGATTTGGTAGGATTGTGTGGGTTTACGATGGCAGCTACAACAAAACGCAAAGCGAAACGCGCTCTTTTCGCGCCAAACCCGCCAAGGCGGTGCTAGAAAAACTAAATAAAAAGAAAGAAAAATATTTTATGTGATTCAAACGGTACTGTGATTCGTAAAAAAATCGAATAAAAAAATCCAGTGACAAAACTACAGTCATGAGCAGAAGGGTTTGAAGAGTTGAGAGAATCTTTACAATGGACTTTTGTAAGCTCCTGAGTTCTCTTGGCAAGAGTTGAGAATGGAGAATCTGTCTTCGTTGAAGGACGTTCTTGTGGACGAGGTGGCTCTGTCGGGACTCGAAGGTATGTTTGTTTACTCTTCACTGTGTACAGTTGAGATGCCAAAGTAAATGCCCTGATGCACGAAACAGCGTGGACTCGAACTCCAGGATATAGCTTTTTTTCTTGACATTTTCATTATCTGTATTGTTGTGGGCACAATGTATTGAGCTCAGAGGTGAAAAGGTACACTGTTCCACGGCTTAAAACTTCTCTTTCCCTTTTTTTCCCCTGAAACTCCCATGACCTGCAGTGCCAGCGTGCTGAGAAAAATATTTGCCAAAGGCATGTTCAATGTACATAACTGTACATACATGTTATATGCAAGCCTTGCTTGATAGTTACCCAGGTATGATGACATCATATCATCAAGTCAAGGCGAAGGACACACTTGAAAGTGGTGTTCCTGACTGCCAGGACAGCCAGAAGCAGTTTTTGATTGGTCCGGCATTAGCATAGCAGCCAGCCTGTCATACTGTGTGTATGATCAGTGGCAGGTGCACAACGTTATGCTCTCCTGAGCAGTAAACACGTGTTGATGGGTAAAAGTGTTGATCCGGCAATGCCCTGACCAACCGGACCGGTTGCGGCGGGCCTGCTGCAGCCAGAGACCGGTTGGTAGGGCTAGGGTCCCAGTCTTGCCACCATGTGCCCTGCATGGGGTCAAATCCCGGGTTCAGGGGCCCTCTGTATTTTAGGGGGATGGGTGAAAAACTGAATAAGGAGTAACAGCGAGGGAAGAACAATGAAGAGAAAGACAAGAGCCAAGACAGCCAATTACTAGCTGGCATCAGTCTTTTGCAGCCTGTCAGACCCGACTCGCATGCCTGCGCAGGACCGGTGGAAGCCGTTTTACATTGGTCTGGCCATACCATAGCCTTTCATACAGTTTGTGTATGATACGTCAGATATACACATGACCTCTCCGCAGTATACGCACTTTGGTGGCTCAACCGTTGGTCCGGCCATGGCCTGATCAAGCGGACCGGTTCCGCCGGCCTGCCAGTGCAGACAGGCAACTGAACCGTACATGATTGATGGTAATTCTCATTGGGTTTCTCCAAGTGCGAGGGTGACGGTGTCTGCGTGATGACCAATTCTCCATAGACGTTTGCCACGAGTATCTCGTCACCATGCACTGAGACCAACGCATATGGCCGATTGGTTTGCAGGCCTGCCTGCGAATCATGAGGTCCCGAGTTCAAGACCCGCGCTGGTAGCAGGGAGCGTGTAAACAGACTTTTTACGCGTGTTGAACTGCGCCGACACCCACGGTCAACTGGGTACTCACAGCTCAGAGTGAGAATAACAAGGATGCAGTTTACAGGGTTATGGGCCGTTACACGCCCGATTGGTTGAGAGACTAACCTTCTCTCCCCTGACTCACTTGTGAGGTCTGCATTCGCCACTAAGGTTAACAGGCATAGTGGTGGCCTGCGGATGCGAAGGCTAGTTTGTGTGTTTCTGAACATTCAAGCGATGCCGACGCGGATCCCGCGAATATTATTATGCACTGTAATTCCACCTCCACCGCATGCGCTCTCTGAAATGCTTTGTCAGTATCTACAACTTGGAGTCGTGTTGCTGGTTTGATGGTCGGCCAGAGAGCGCATGTGGTGGTGGTGGTGGAATTGCTTTATTGACAAGGCCGAAAGCTGCTGCTTACTGTAATTTCACAAATTTTCGGTGTACTTTTATTTTCGGTACTTTCGGTACGTCTGTTTCATACCTAGAATTTCAATGCACCGAACAAACACTAACACACATAATCCAATAGGGAATTGCTCCTCTGTACCTAAAAGGCCTTTTGCCCTCATTCCGAAAATATTGAGCACGTAAAATTTCTGAAATTAGAGTACCTATTTATCTAGTACCATGCATTGTAGTAAAAACCCTGAAAATCACTGTTTACCCTGCCAGTGTGCCAGCATGACTGTTGAGTAACTCCTTATGCCACTACTGTGCAATGGTGAGGTTGATGTTTGCAGGGAAGCTCTTACTCGTTTGTAGGACTTTACCCAGCACCTTAGGTTCAGATGAAGCCTGGTGAAACAGGTCATGCACTCGTATAGGTATCCTTGATGCTTGTGCGGTAGTCATGAATTCTTATGCTTGATGTGTATGGGTGTGTGTGTGTGCCAGCTAGTTCGGTTGGTAGGTACACTTATGCCTGATTGTGTTGGGTCTGTTGCCAACAGGCTCGGCCGCTTGAAGGTGTAATGTTGTACCTGCCACCTTTGTTGGTTCCAGGGTTCATATACTTTCTATTTGAAGTATACATACCTGTTAACCATGGACTGCTTCTGGCTAGATTAACTCTTGTGTAATCAATGGTGCTAGTGAAGCTTTTATCAGATCCACTCTGATTTAGCCACTCACACTAGTAGCAAGTATTACCTTCACTGGGGGCAGGGGTAACTGCAGTTGGATCCCGGGACGGATACCCTGATACCGTCAATCCTTTTTCTGCACCTTGTCCTCACCCACTTACTGAGGTGTGGTGAGCCCATAAGTGGGATCATTTTCAAGTCCATCCAGCGTTTTGGGGATTTCAGGGGTGTCGGCCGTTGGGCGGTTCAATAACCAATAGAGTCATCTTTCCAAGATTCCTTTTGAGTCTCTCTCCCCTCTCCCGGGGGGACTCACGTGACCAGTTTTGGCAGTGAGCAACAAGTACAGTACAGCAACAAGTACAGTGTGTGTGTGCGTGTGTATGTGTGTCTGTGCGTTTGTGTGTAGGTATTTCGCTGGAAGTGCTATGGCGTCGTTTACAGACTAGACAGTCGTTTCAAGCAGCGACTGATGACACATTGTATCCCTATGCATGGCGTGTGCTGGTGGAGAAATGCGGCGACATTAACTTTTACGCGCGGCAAACACCGTTTCAGGATGTGTTTGTTGTGGGTAACCTGAATCCACTGAAGACTGTAAAAGGTATGCTCACATTCTCAAGTGTACTGCATCAGTCTTGTGTGAACTTGGAGTTTCAACTTTCAACTGACCATTCTGACGTCTGTGATAGTTATTCACGTGAAAGTCCTTTTTTTACCTCAGAAATGAGAAATCCTACTGGGAGGGTGAACAGCAATAATTGGAGTATGAAGTGAAACGGTGTGTGGGACAGTGTGTTTGACAGTGCGTGAGGCAGTGTGTGAGACAGTGTGTGAAAAACGGCATGTGAGACTCGTATGTGAGATTGTACATGTGTGTATGTCAGTATGTGTGACAGTGTGTGAGACAGTATGTGTGACAGTGTGTGTGAGACAGTGTGTGAAAACGGCATGTGAGATAGAACAAGAAGAAGTGAAAGGCTTTTTTTTAACCTTTTACTTTGCCACAGTGCTTTCTGTAGTGGATGAGCATTTCCTCTCCTGGTGTCTCTTGTCTAACTGCTTGTTGACAGAATACTTTGGCTATAGTCCCAAGGACCCGTACACGCCAGTCAATGACAAAGAGAAAGGTGTACGTGGTCTGTGTGCTACCTATAAGACACGGGAAGATGTGACGGACGTGGTGCGATGTGTAAGCACAGACAAGACGCTCTGTTCCTACACGGAGGCCGTGGAAAAGTGAGTACAGCACTAGCACTTCGAAGTAGTTAAAAGTACGTGCATGTCATTGTCATGGTCGCTGCACTACATGGCAATGCACACCAGCCAGTACTGGCAATAGCTAGCGGCCTTGTTTGAACATTTCCTGTAGCTTTAAAAAAGGTATTTGCTGCAATGGAGTCTGCAGGCTTTATAAAAGGTATTTGCTGCAATGGAGTCTGCAGGCTTTAAAAAAGGTATTTGCTGCAATGGAGTCTGCAGGCTTTATAAAAGGTGCCACTGTAAATATTTTTTCTGATGTCTGACGAGAGTGTCATCCTACCTGAACGAACAGTTCTGTTTTTTTTGTGCTCTATTTATGCACATGTGGGTTGCTCTGTGTGTGTCTGTGTGCATGTGTGTGTGTGTGTACGTGTGTGCGTATGTGAGTGTGTGTGTGTGTGTGTGTGTGTGTGTGTGTGTGTGTATGTGTGTGCGTAGGTATGGCGAGAAACTGGTCATGGTGGCATCTCAGAAGCTGCGAGAGCGGGCCCTGTGGGGAAGAAGTGACTCACTTGCTCCCGTCAATGACCGCCAGTACTGTATTCTGGAAGTGATTGGCCGAGCACGGAGTCAAGGTGTCACACAGCGTGCTATACATTCCTATCTCAAGCTAGATCCAAGGAGCTGTTTCTATGACGTGCGTATGCTAGCCAAGTACAAGTTTATCACTATGCAGGTAAGTAGAGACATTTGCCTTTTTCTCTTGGGCAATGCATGCCTCTGTGTCACAGTCTTACTGCATTGTTTAACCACTCTTTACTTTAGAACATGACTGTGCTCTCACATCATCATCATGATGATGATGATGATGATGGTCATGACAGGACTGCTGTATACAATCATGAATGTCATGTACACTGTAGTATGCAGCAACTGTCTCATAGAGTTGTAGCAACTGTATGCTGTCACTGTTGCTGCTGCTGCTGCTTCCGCTGTTGCTTCCGCCGCTGTCATTGCTGCTGCTGCTGCTGCTGCTGTCATTGCTGTTACAGTTGATGTTTATCTGACACGACTGCTGGTGTCTGCGGTGCTCTTGTGCGCACATGTATGTATATGTATACATGACTGTATGTTTGTATGTATTCATGTGTGATTGTGTGTATATGTGGTTATGTGCCCCGTGTGTAACATTATTGTGTGTATTGTTTTCTTGTGTGTTGTGTTGTGTTGTATCACACTACACTGCATCATCAGCCATACGTGAATAGTCCTAATGAACGACCAGGGCGAGTCAAGACACCAATGCTGCTCTTGCCCAGGTTTGATCATCTGGTCTTTTCACCATTGGATGTAGCTGGCGAGTTGATGTCACGTTACTTGGAGGCTCAGCCCGGCTGTTGCATCAAATATGCTGACCATCAATGGCCGAGTCAAATTCATGTGAGTGACCGTGTGTGTCTGTTTGTGAATGGTGTGCTGATTTTGATATGTACATCCTCATTCAAGGCATCGTGATGTGTGTGTGTGTGTGAGTGTGTGCATGCATGTCATGATGTGTGTGTGTGTGTGTGTGTTTTCACGTGTGAGTGTGTGTGTGTGTGTGTGTGTGTGTGTGCATGTGTGTGTGTGTGTGCATGTGTGTGTGTGCATGTGTGTGTGTGTGTGTGTGTGTGTGCGTGCGTGTGTGTGTGTGTGTGCGTGTGTACACACGTGTCTGTATGTGCACGTGGGTATGTGTGTGTGTGTGTGTGTGTGTGTGTGTGTGTGTGTTCATGCGTGCGTGCACATGTACCTTATTTCCGGGGCGAGTATTCCACACTGATATACTAGTAAACGGGTTTGTTACAAAGCCATCTTACTTGGTGATATTCTCTTGGTTTGTGCACAGCCATTTCTTGCTCAAAGCTGCTATTATCAATTGCTGTTGGATGGGTATTGGCAAGTCGAGAACCCAGTGGAAAAGCCAAGTCTAAGGCGCAAGTCTAGGGCCAAAACCCCAAAGTCTTTGAAGAAGGAATCTTTGGAGCAGAAGATTGCAGCCAGAGATGGGACAGGTGCTGCTTCTAAACTTTTTGAGCGTGGTGTTGAGGTGAAGTTGGAAGATGGTGACGGTGATGGTGATGAGGGATACAATGCTGATGGTACTGAGCAACTCAAACCAGACTCAGCACTCTCTGTTCCCAGTACACCAACTGGAAAGAGGAAAGCGCGTGGAAAACGCGGCAGTGCAAGCAGTACCCCGGCTAGTACTCTCACCACCCCAGCTTCTACTGCTGCAAGTGCTGGCAAAGATAGCACTGTTAGTGCTACGTCAGCTACTGCTGCTTCGCCGTCTGCAATGGCTGCTGGCAGTGATGGGACAGCCACACCACTGGATGCTGCTAGCGTGGGAAACTCTCCTAGCAAAGAAGATGCAAAGCAACTGGGTATGTTCCGCCAATGCCTGTATGCAATGTGTTGTGTATTTCATAATTATGGTGATGGAGGCATGGTCTTCAAGTATGTGTGCCGTGATTGTACGCACATATGTATGTGTATGTTCACACAAGTGTGTGTGTGCATGCATGTGTGCGGGTACGTTGATATGCGTGTCTGTGTGCATTTTTCTGGGTGTCTTTGCTTGCATGTATAAATAGTAAAACATCGTTTGCATCTATTTCAAGATGGGGCTGCTGCTTCTTCCAGTCATGTACTAGTATATAAGTTTGTTTACATTGTTCGCAGGTCATTTGACTTTTTGGCATCCTGGGATACCATCACCCCTCTCACTAGTCTCAGATTGCAGGAGGAAGATGTAGCTACTTAAGTGTTTGAGTGTGAGTAGGTCAGACCCAGCACCCAGCACCCAGCACCCAGCACCCAGCACCCAGCACCCAGCACCCAGCACCCAGCACCCAGCACCCAGCACCCAGCACCCAGCACCCAGCACCCAGCACCCAGCACCCAGCACCCAGCACCCAGCACCCTGCACCCAGCACCCAGCACCCAGCACCCTGCACCCAGCACCCAGCACCCAGCACCCAGCACCCAGCACCCAGCACCCAGCACCCAGCACCCTGCACCCAGCACCCAGCACCCTGCACCCAGCACCCAGCACCCAGCACCCAGCACCCAGCACCCAGCACCCAGCACCCAGCACCCAGCACCCAGCACCCAGCACCCTGCACCCAGCACCCAGCACCCAGCACCCAGCACCCAGCACCCAGCACCCTGCACCCAGCACCCAGCACCCAGCACCCAGCACCCAGCACCCAGCACCCTGCACCCAGCACCCAGCACCCTGCACCCAGCACCCAGCACCCAGCACCCAGCACCCAGCACCCAGCACCCTGCACCCAGCACCCTGCACCCTGCACCCTGCACCCAGCACCCAGCACCCAGCACCCTGCACCCAGCACCCAGCACCCAGCACCCAGCACCCAGCACCCTGCACCTAGCACCCAGCACCCAGCACCCAGCACCCAGCACCCTGCACCCAGCACCCAGCACCCAGCACCCTGCACCCTGCACCCAGCACCCAGCACCCTGCACCCAGCACCCAGCACCCAGCACCCTGCACCCAGCACCCAGCACCCTGCACCCAGCACCCTGCACCCAGCACCCAGCACCCAGCACCCTGCGCACATTGTGTAATACATCCAGTACAGTATCATGTGTCATATGTCTAGCGGCATTGTCTCTCTGATGTGCTTCTTGTCTTCATCACAATTGCAAGAAGAGCAACAGCGGCGTCTACTGCGAAAGCCTTACAACCGACCCACTGCTGGCAGTGTAGTGTCACTGTTGAAATCGTTCAGAGCTGCCACCTCACCATGGGTGCATGGCAAGGAGAAGGTTGCTGACGCTGCCGAAGATGATGAAGATGGTGTTGTGCCCACTAATGGTAAGCAGCTAGACATCAGGGATGTACAGTGCACTCCACCATGACATATTCACATGAGGTGCACGTGCCTCTTGTGTCATCCACTGGCTATATGCCTGAGGCTGGTACCATCAAATTGGAAACATTTGCTGTGTGTTTAGTTTTCGATTTCTGGTGGCAGGCAGGTTAGTGACAATTACAATTTGGGAACATTCGCACGCTTTAAAGTGTTGAAATCCTTCCCCATTACGAAACTTGAGTAATGAAAGCTCACCCAAAATTTCCCGCTTGACAGTACTGCCTTCCTACCTCAAATATTCAATTTTTTTAATCTATACAAAGAGTATCATGTATTAGTAATACAGAGCATAATGAGTCGTGACATGTTGTCCTTGTGTCTTTGTGATATCTTACAAAATTTGAAATTACACTTCGGTATTTTAGCTTGGATGTTTGTTGTGTGTTCGTGTGCCGTGTGCCGTGTTGTTGTTGTAGCTGGTGAATCATCCATTGAGTTACCACTCGGTCAGCACATCTACTGGTTTGTGGAAAACACTGGCAGCGATGGAGCTCTTCTTGCCGTATGTACCGATGCAACATGTGTTTGGGCAGGCTAATGCCTGTTGCTAATGCCGAGGTTATCGTCCTCAATTTGAGCTCTGACTGTGCAAGAATTGTGCTACTCTGTGCTAGTTGGGACTCGGGGGGAGTTTTCTCTCATTTTCTGGTGTTAGTGTACTTCTATCTGTTTGTTTGTTTGTTTTGAAATATTTTATTCTCACGATAGCCTGTGTCCAATAAAAGAAAGTTGTTGTTGTTGTTGCTGCTGCTGCTGCTGCTGCTGCTGCTGCTGCTGCTGCTGCTGCTGTTGTTGTTGTTGTTGTTGTTGTTGTTGTTGTTGTTGTTGCTGCTGCTGCTGCTGCTGCTGCTGCTGCTGTTGTTTGAATTCTTTTATTCTCACGATGGCCTGTGGCCAATAAGAGATGTTGTTGTTGTTGTTGTTGTTGTTGTTGTTGTTGTTGTTGTTGTTGTTGTTGTTGTTGTTGTTGTTGTTGTTGTTGTTGTTGTTGTTGTTGTTGTTGTTGTTGTTGTCGTGTTGTTGTTGTTGTTGTTGTTGTTGTTGTTGTTGTTGTTGTTGTTGTTGTTGTTGTTGTTGTTGTTGTTGTTGTTGTTGTTGTTGTTGTTGTTGTTGTTGTTGTTGTTGTTGTTGTTGTTGTTGTTGTTGTTGTTGTTGTTGTTGTTGTTGTTGTTGTTGTTGTTGTTGTTGTTGTTGTTGTTGTTGTTGTTGTTGTTGTTGTTGTTGTTGTTGTTGTTGTTGTTGTTGTTGTTGTTGTTGTTGTTGTCGTGAGTAAGGCATACATGCTACAATGCATAGTACTACTGTTGGTTGTGCTACATGATGGGTTTATGCCTGTGTGTGTGTGTGTGTGTGTGTGTGTGTGTGTGTGTGTGTGTGTGTGTGTGTGTGTGTGTGTGTGTGTGTGTGTGTGTGTGTGTGTGTGTGTGTGTGTGTGTGTGTGTGTGTGTGTGTGTGTGTGTGTGTGTGTGTGTGTGTGTGTGTGTGTGTGTGTGTGTGTGTGTGTGTGTGTGTGTGTGTGTGTGTGTGTGTGTGTGTGTGTGTGTGTGTGTGTGTGTGTGTGTGTGTGTGTGTGTGTGTGTGTGTGTGTGTGTGTGTGTGTGTGTGTGTGTGTGTGTGTGTGTGTGTGTGTGTGTGTGTGTGTGTGTGTGTGTGTGTGTGTGTGTGTGTGTGTGTGTGTGTGTGTGTGTGTGTGTGTGTGTGTGTGTGTGTGTGTGTGTGTGTGTGTGTGTGTGTGTGTGTGTGTGTGTGTGTGTGTGTGTGTGTGTGTGTGTGTGTGTGTGTGTGTGTGTGTGTGTGTGTGTGTGTGTGTGTGTGTGTGTGTGTGTGTGTGTGTGTGTGTGTGTGTGTGTGTGTGTGTGTGTGTGTGTGTGTGTGTGTGTGTGTGTGTGTGTGTGTGTGTGTGTGTGTGTGTGTGTGTGTGTGTGTGTGTGTGTGTGTGTGTGTGTGTGTGTGTGTGTGTGTGTGTGTGTGTGTGTGTGTGTGTGTGTGTGTGTGTGTGTGTGTGTGTGTGTGTGTGTGTGTGTGTGTGTGTGTGTGTTGCTCACTGCATGCCTGTGTGTGTGTGTTGCTCACTGCACGCCTGTGCACCGTTGTGTTCTGTAGGATGTATGTGATTCATTGGTGTACAAACATGACCGCCACATCAAGAAAAAGATTCAGAAGAAAACGACTGAACGCCACTGGGGCTGGATTGATGCCATGCTGAAAGACATGGGAAGAGTTCGCAAGCACGTGTAAGCCACCAGGGGCGGATCCAGACCCCAAAGCTGAGGGGTGCGAGGATGAAACTTACATATTTTCTTTTGCAGTAGTAAACCAAAGACATAGTATGTTATGTGTGTTACTGTATAATATCATAATTACACATAGCACCAACATGAGTAGTATGATTAGTTACACATTGAATGTCAAAATTTACAAGTAATTTACGACTGTTACCGGTATGATTCTAGACACAGATTATGCTATGTACATGCTATATACACAATGTCAACTCTAGTCAGAATTCAGGGCGGCTGTTCCATTCCTCACTCCACATCCTGGAGAATGTTGGTCATCCTCATCTTCCGTGGGTGCTTGAGGGCGAACATGTCGACGATGTCAGTGACATCAACAGCCAAGTCGTAGCGGATGTGGAGTAGAGCTAGCCCGGTTAGTCTACTCTGTCCCATTGTACTCCTGAGGTAGGTCTTAAAGGGAAACTGAACGCCAAAAATAAGTATGGCTTATCCGAAGGGGAATTGGGCACTGATTCCGATGAGCTATGTCGCGAGCCGATCAGAGAAGAGGAACCGTGTCAAATTTCATAAATAACACCTTCCATATTTGGAAATTGGGCTTGATGACGTGCGTACTGCTTAGCTGTCACCATGCTGTGCATGCTCAGCAGTGTAATTGAATGGAAGAAAACAATTACTTTGGTGTTTTGCAGCTCTATTTCGTTCCCTGACGGTAACCAAATCTAGATGTAGGAATCTGTTGAGCAGGAGAGTGACACATGTCTTCCCGAAGGCTGTCCAGGCTGCAGTGGTGATGAAGAAGACACGATCATCACCCCGAGATCGATTGTAGCGAATTGGAAAACTCATGGCGAATTTGCTTCCACTCCAAGGCAATGTCGAGGTATGAAGGGTGCTTGTACTGCCTTCCAAAGTGAAGAGGAGATGAACATGGCTGTACATAGCTGTTGTTCTATGCCAACTTACTTACCTACTCTTGCTGGTACCGTAGACGTAGTGCTATATTGCGAATTTCGTGGACGAACAACTCTCTAGTCACTAGTGGCTAATGAGCAACACTAACAGGTGAGATTTTTAAATTTGACAAAAATTGTTTTTGTTTGAGAACTGACAGTGGCAGTCATTTGACTCAGTAGGTGTCTTTGCTGCTTCTTTCCCTTCATTCGTAGGGTTGTGCTTGAATAGTACAAGTGCTTGAAGTAAAATAAAATAAATAGAACATGTGGAACATAAATCTAATCAAGCATGAGTACATGTATTGCGAATTTCAACTTCAAAGCACATGAAATCACAATGATCACAAAGTTTATGGAATCAAGAGGACACCATGTGTTCAACGAACACATACACACATGCTGTATCAGTGCGTGCACACATGTACACATGTGCGTGCACCCCCACCCCATCCCACAGACATGCGCGTGCAGCGCGCACATCCATACACATGTGCATGTACCCCCCCCCCCCCCCCTCCCCCGACACACACACACACTCCTACCCATACACATGTGCGTAGGACCCACGCACACACACACACACACACACACACACACACACGTGTGCACAGACGAATACACAAACACACACGCCCTAACACACACAATATACGTGTAAGTGTACATGGTCTTCCTGGTGCAGATGTGAGGCCAGCACAATGGAAAATACCTCCATCAAGATGCTTGATCAAGTGTTGTGATAATGGCACTGTTTGTTTGTTTTTACAAAGAAGTGTGGGAAGGATTACTATGCGTTATAATTCATAATTGTTCTTTGCCTTGTACTGTGCAGACCAGAATGCTTCGCTATCAACTCCTGGCTTTCCATCGGCATGGTGTTCAGCTGCAGCGGCATCTGGTCCGGGGAGTTGAAGTTGCTGGATGGCTGCACTGACACAGGATGGGTTTGCGTTGGCAATGCGATACGGCAGTCATTCCACATCATGAGCTACATGTTTATGTAATTTATATTGTCGCTCGTCCAGCAACGTCAAGGCTCTGCATGTAAACACAGGAGAACACCATAATAAAAAATACTACTCATACTCAGGGGATAATATATTTGGATTAGCAATTTCGTGCCATTTATGGGTTCCTGTCTAAACCATGCTGTGATATTGATTTCTATCTGCTCACAAAGTACCTTGTATTGTAACAATGCTCTGCCTAATCACTACCCTCCGCCAATTATTAGATTCACACAATATTCACAACACAATGCTGTCTATTTACACTACTTCGAACTGAAATGCTCACTACTCTTCTCCCGTTTTCAGCTCCCTCTACCTTATGAATACTCTACATTACTGGTTTCGTTTCTACCCTTTCCATTGCTGCCAGCTCCCAGTCTTTTTCAATGCACAGCACCACCTTGAAATTTTTGTGATTTGATGTACACATACTTTGAAGTTGAAATTCGAACTACATGATCAGATTTTTGTTCCACATTTTCTATTTATTTTTACTTCAAGCACAACCCTACCGATGAAGGGAAAGAAGCAGCAGAGAGACACCTACTGAGTCTAATGACTACCACTGTCAGTTCTCAAACAAAAACAATTTTTGTCAAATTGAAAAATCTCACCTGTTAGTGTTGCTCACTAGCCACTAGTGACTAGAGTTGTTCGTCCACGAAATTCGCAATATAGCACTACGTCTACGGTACCAGCAAGAGTAGGTAAGTAAGTTGGCATAGAACACTCCTCTTCACTTTGGAAGGCAGTACAAGCACCCTTCATACCTCGACATTGCCTTGGAGTGGAAGCAAATTCGCCATGAGTTTTCCAATTCGCTACAATCGATCTCGGGGTGATGATCGTGTCTTCTTCATCACCACTGCAGCCTGGACAGCCTTCGGGAAGACATGTGTCACTCTCCTGCTCAACAGATTCCTACATCTAGATTTGGTTACCGTCAGGGAACGAAATAGAGCTGCAAAACACCAAAGTAATTGTTTTCTTCCATTCAATTACACTGCTGAGCATGCACAGCATGGTGACAGCTAAGCAGTACGCACGTCATCAAGCCCAATTTCCAAATATGGAAGGTGTTATTTATGAAATTTGACACGGTTCCTCTTCTCTGATCGGCTCGAGACATAGCTCATCGGAATCAGTGCCCAATTCCCCTTCGGATAAGCCATACTTATTTTTGGCGTTCAGTTTCCCTTTAAGGAGACGCAGGGCCGACACGCTTCGCTCACACTCGCAAGACGTGATCGGCATCACAGCTAGAATGGCTAGTGTGGCGAAGATGTTGGGGAAAGTGTGCTTGCAACACTGTTGGAGTGCGGCTTGAACAGTGGAGGGCAGAGAGTCTTCACCCACGCGGCTCCACTTCACCCACCAGTTGTCGTGCTCGGACGTAATAGATGAAGGTGCTGGCATGTCTTCGCTGTACTGGTCGATGAAGTGTTTCAGGGAGGCCTTCCAATCTGTTGTCTTCTTCATGACAGCTGGGACTGCCACAAGACCAGACGCTGCTGCGCTCTGGGCATCGGAGAAGCGAGCGTGGAGTTCTTGAAGAAGGCAATCAAGTAAAGGCGTGGTGATGGTGATGCGGAAGTGGTCCTCTGCTGATGCACCTGGTACGGTAGGGTTGGCCCGATGGACTGATCTCCCACATGCGCGAGGTGCCTTCAACTCGATGCCAGCATCATCAGCAACCTTCTGCACAGCTTCGTACCACTCCTTGTGCTTCTCTTCTACTTTGGTGCGCAGCATTTCCAAAGTGTCGTCTGTCGATCGTTGTCCTGACGTCCTGATCACGTGATTGCACACAAATCATCCGCGGATCCGCGCAGCGAGCCTGGGCCTGGCCTGACCTGGCCTGGCCTGACGGGTTCATTTGCACCCTTCGCACCCCCCCTGGATCCGCCCCTGGCCACTGTCTGTCTTGTTGTATCGCTTGCCCACATGTACACCTATGCCCACGATACATGTATTTAGCACTTGTACAGCTGTGCACATGCACACTTACTCTGGACATCTGTTGTTGATCTGAATGTTGCTACATGGGCAGTCAATCAAGTTACATGTATATGTATGACATCATGACGCAAGAGCCCGACCTGTCACTGTTCATCCTGCTGTCACATAGGATATAATTAGGCTGATGTCTGTATTGGGTTTGTCTGTCTGCATATGCCTGTGCTTGCATGTGTATCTGTGTATGCGCGCACACACGCGTGCGCACACGTGTGTGTGTGTGTGTGTGTGTGTGTGTGTGTGTGTGTATGGGTATGTGTTTGTGCACTCACACCTGTGTGTATCTGTGTGCTCTGCACCATGGTGTGTGTATGTATGTATACTATGATGTGTGTACCATCGTTTGTACCATCGTTTGTACCATTGTTTGTGTATGTATTTGTGCAGGTTGGTAGCTAAGGAGCACAAGGCAGGAAATGCTGATATGGTGTTGATTGATGCAGTATCAAAGAAAACCTCACACAAGCAGTTATCGGTTTTGCCGGACGGTTTCTCTCCATCAGTGACCTCTTCGAGTCAAGCAACACCCAAGAAGACGACAAGCAAGTCGGCAGAGTGTTTAAAGATAGAAGCTTCAGCATCTCCCGTTCTTCCGTTGTACCCGCCAAGCAGTAGCGTGTCGACAGGTGTTTGTGTTGGTGGTGTTGCTATTAGCAGCAGCAGCAACAACACCACTGACAACCCTATTCCCATCATCACCACCAGCACAGATGGAGACGCAAGCGCGGCAGACACAGGAGCGGATACAGCTAATGTAGATACCAAACTTGCTATGAATGTAGCTAATAAGCCACTAGACCCACAGCTTCTGCAGTCTTATCTGACTCCAGGTACACCGTCAGAAGACTCACTGCCTCAATCACCCAGTTCTGACCCAACGGCTGCTACTTCTAATCTGCTGCAAACACCCGGGGCACAGTCAGGAGCATCCACAGCCCATGAGAGCTCACTCTCACAAACTCCTATTTCCGTTGAACTTCAGGAAATGAAGAAAAAACAGACCACCACTGGTAAGTTGGCTAGGCGGTCGGAAATCTGCGCTCTCTCTCTCTCTCTCTCTCTCTCTCTCTCTCTCTCTCTCTCTCTCTCTCTCTCTCTCTCTCTCTCTCTCTCTCTCGCTCTCTCGCTCTCTCGCTCTCTCGCTCTCTCGCTCTCTCGCTCTCTCTCTCTCTCTCTCTCTCTCTCTCTCTCTCTCTCTCTCTCTCTCTCTCTCTCTCTCGTGGGGCTCCGTTTATTGAGGTGCGTTGAAATTTATTCTCTTTATCTTATTATTTCTTTTCTATAATTTCCCCATATGAGTTCCTATCAGTTGCTGTGAACACCTTGAGTGGAGAGCGCTTGCTCGAGCGTTGAACCGGGTTCTTAATCCACCATACCCAGTTCGCAAGGCTGGGCGGGGTTGTGAGCAGGCTTTCATTTCATCTTTTCTTATTATTTCTTATTATTTCTGCTTTTCATCTCATTACAAAAATTCTGCGCTTTTTCTCCATCTGCGCATAAAATCTAGACTGACAACCTGCTTGTTAAATCATGCACCTGCTTTCAGGCGTAAAAACCCTGTTGTAGAGGTCTCAGTCCTCATTTGTTAGACTTACCTGTCTTTATAAATGTAACTTACTCTCTCTCTCTCTCTCTCTCTCTCTCTCTCTCTCTCTCTCTCTCTCTCTCTCTCTCTCTCTCTCTCTCTCTCTCTCTCTCTCTCTCTCTCTCTCTCTCTCTCTCTCTCTCTCTCTCTCTCTCTCTCTCTCTCTCTCTCTCTCTCTCTCTCTCTCTCTCTCTCTCTCTCTCTCTCTCTCTCTCTCTCTCTCTCTCTCTCTCTTGGTGTTTTGCTTGTCCTGTTTTGTGAGTATGACATACATGTACATCTTGCTGTACTTAGCACACTGTACTTTTGGTTTGGTTCTTGTGCACCGGTCTCTTGCTTAGCTTCAAAGCGGATGGTTACCGCCTTGCAGCTGAAACGTCAGCAAATGCTCCTGGACTACATCAACAAAGAAGAAGTTGTCCTGACTAACCAAGCTGTAATGGTGAGGCACTGCAGCTACTGTGTGTACACTGTGTAGAAATGCAGCTGTGCTAGCTGGAATCCCATCCAAAGTGCATATTTAGCACCCTGGACTAGTCTTGCACAGCCCCTGACACCGTGGAAGTGCCACGCAAGCTGCTGGACATGCAGATGAACTGGTCCAGGGCACTGCCACCTTTGCACTTTGCGTTGGATTTCACCTAGACCCACTGTAGTATTACACTGCGGTAGTACAGCAATCGGATGTGACAGTACTGGTACCTTTGCGTTGGATTTCACTTAGACCCACTGTAGTATTACACTGTTTTAGTACAGCAAGGGGATGTGACAGTACTGGTACCTTTGCGTTGGATTTCACTTAGACGCACTGTAGCAAAACACAGTGTTAGTACAGCAAGGGGATGTGACAGTACTGGTACCTTTGCGTTGGATTTCACCTAGACCCACTGTAGTATTACACAGTGTTAGTACAGCAATCGGATGTGACAGTACTGGACCACCTAGACGCACTGTTAGTACTGTTACCTTTGGGTTGATGTCCTATCTGACATGCACTGCTAAGCGCTAACTCCCTAACCTTTACACGTTTACTTCTCTATGTAGACTTTCAGTGCACTAAGCACTGTAACTTCTGTCACCTTTTGTTGCTTCTTTTGTCTTGCGCTAATGTCAGTGTACAAAACCCAATGTTTCCTGAAACTCCCGATGAAAAAGCAAGAACATTTGATTTGGAGGTTTCATAGTAGCTTGACTCATCGGTGTATTGAGCTGAATGTGCTCATACTACTGCTGCTGCTCTCACTGCTGCTACTCTTTCTGCTGCTGCTCTCACTGCTGTTTTCTCCTGCCGTTGCTGCTGTTGGTGTTGTTGTCACTGTTACTGGTGTTTTGATTGTGGCTATATGTGTAATTGTGATTTGTACAGTACGGCCTTCAGAATGACCATGCTGTCAAACTGTCTGACCAGCAGGTGGCATGTAGGAAGACGGTTGTTCGGTGAGTGAACATTCATAACATGGCTACATGGGCCCAGTGCAGGGAACAGGCACAAGTATGTGTGTTTATATGTGTTAGTAACTGCTATACCTGTTCATCACTCTCATCTGCCAACAGTACGCCTTTGTCCTTTGTGGATCCATCAATTCAGCACAGGGGAATGAGGCCTGCGGTAATCCAATTGCCATGAATATTGAATAGTATTCATTAGTTGAGGGAATGGAAAAGGGAAAAATATAAATATTGACATTTCTCAAGGCCAGAATTAAACCAAGTGCGAGCGTGCCTTGTCCAACTCCTCAAACAGAAGAGATTGGTCAGCCACACCTTTTTGAATTGTTCGCCAACTCCAACGCAGCCACTTGATGGCGTGTGGGTGCTTGATCAATCATAATTTTCTTTTCCTTGATTGTTTGTTTAGTGTGGCCAGATGTTGTATTACTATTGGCATGTGGTATACCGGTACATGTACAGCACAATAAAACACATGCATTATCGCCACGTGTGAATAGTGTAACTTGATTCGAGGTCAAGTTAGTTTGGCCCGTTTTTCACCAGTCGTTCATCTGCCTGCGGGTGAAGCTTTCTTGAAAATTATAATAGAGACTGTGGTTCCGGGGTACGATTTTCCGTACCAAAATCCGTATGGGCGCTACGGATTTTTTCCAGGCGTGCTCCATACGATTTTTCGGCACGGAGAATCCGTGTGGACTGGCTTTCATACGAACCATGTTTCGTATGGAGATTTTGCGTCATCGGATGCAGAAAGATTTTTCGCGTACAAATTTGGTACGAGAAACATCGATTTTCCGCGGGAAGTTTTGATTTCGGTACAAATTTTCAAAATAAAAAGGCATAGCGCAGGAATGTGACATTGTTTGCGATCGTAACCTAGGCAATGACGGCAAACACATAAGTTCCGTACTCCGGAACATTTCACTGCTCGAAAACGACGTATAAAAAATCCGTAGCGCCTCTACGGATTTTGGCACAAAAAATCGTACTCCGGAACCTCCCTAATATGTTTTGTGAGCTGTAAGCAGTGTATGTAAGCTGTGTGTGTTGTCAGTGCTGCTGGCCATTGGAACTTCCAGTACGTGTTGGTGTTGATGTTGGTATTCTGTGTTGTTGACATTGTGTTTGCATATGCACAGAGCTATGCAAGTGCTTGCTGAGAAAGGCTTGGTCCAGTGCGTCAAGACCAGTACCGAAGCTCCGTCTGGAAATCAGACATCGGTAGGTTGACACCTACTAGTATACATCATTTCATTTTCATACGAGTTCATGTGCTTTTTATGAAGAATATCTCGCAATCACAATGATGTGTTGAATAAAACCAGGGTGTATGCTCCTGGTCATCTCTGTAGACGCTCTTGTGTCGTCTCTGTAGACGCTCTTGTGTCGTCTCTGTAGATGCTCTTGTGTCATCTCTGTAGATGCTCTTGTGTCGTCTCTGTAGATGCTCTTGTGTCGTCTCTGTAGATGCTCTTGTGTCGTCTCTGTAGATGCTCTTGTGTCGTCTCTGTAGATGCTCTTGTGTCGTCTCTGTAGATCCTCTTGTGTCGTCTCTGTAGATGCTCTTGTGTAGTCTCTGTAGATTCTCTTGTGTCGTCTCTGTAGATGCTCTTGTGTCGTCTCTGTAGATGCTCTTGTGTCGTCTCTGTAGATGCTCTTGTGTCGTCTCTGTAGATGCTCTTGTGTCGTCTCTGTAGATGCTCTTGTGTCATCTCTGTAGATGCTACAGCACCTGGTGCATAATGTTACTTTGAGTGCACCCACCCACCATTTTCTGTTATGTCATCATTGGCATTTTCCTCGTGCTTGTTCTCGATGCCATTGGTGTTTTCATTGTGCCTGTTGAAAGTTCTTTTATTTGGAATGTAAAGACAGGGTTGTTGCTTTCCCTCGTATCTACCACATTTTCACACATATCTCTCTCTCTCTCTCTCTCTCTCTCTCTCTCCCTCCCTCCCTCTCTCTCTCTCTCTCTCTCTCTCTCTCTCTCTCTCTCTCTCTCTCTCTCTCTCTCTCTCTCTCTCTCTCTCTCTCTCTCTCTCTCTCTCTCTCTCTCTCTCTCTCTCTCTCTCTCTCTCATGTGTACATTTGTGTAGGTCATAGCCTGGGTGAGCAATGCCTTGGATGTCAAGAGTGAGGAGGTACCACGGCGTCTTCGACTGCTTCTTCCTATGACCAGAGAAGATCCCCTCAATGAACTCCACGGTGAGAGAGAAAAGAAGAAGAAGCGATCTCACAAGAAGAAGGTGAGGTGATGTTTTGTGGTTTTTAAAAGTGTTTTCCGGTCTGATTTGCTGGACAAGTGTTTGTATGTATGGATTCCAATTGGTAGGTTTGTATTGTATGCCTACTGGTCTGTCTCTAGGGCTTTTATGATACACGTGTGTGTGTGTGTGTGTGTGCGTGCGCGCGTGTGTGTGCATATCTGTGTCTGTGTCTGTGTGCTTGTACGTATTGTATATGCTCCGTTTAGCCAAGTAACTCCATGTTGGCCAGCGATCTCAATTATGCGGACGGTGATGCAGTCGATGGAGCAATGTCTGACGCGAGTGAGAAAGTTGGCGAGGAGCTAGCTGACGACGAGGATGCTGAATCATCGCCGGCTTCTACCGAGCTGTTGTTGGTATGTACTATACTTGTAGTGTATTCACTATAAGCATGTGTAGTTACTATAAGCATGTGTAGTCACTATAAGCATGTGTAGTCACTATAAGCAAGCATATTCACGATAAGCAAGTATTCACTATAAGCAAGCATATTCACTATAAGCATGTGTAGTCACTAATAATAATAATAATAAACACAGCTCGCATCTTCCCTGAACCTGTTAGACAGGAGCAGAGTCGACGCATCTGTCAACAGTGTCAAGCCAAGTTAGTCTATCTCCTGCAGCTTGGAGAGCGCTCTCCACGGAGAGATCCGCTATAAGCAAGCATATTCACTATAAGCGATCACATTCACTGTAAGCAAGTGTATTCACTATAAGCAGGCACATCCGTTGCAAGCAAACACATTGTACCTTGTCAGGTGCATCAGACACGCTACGGTCACTACGGTATTGGCCTCAGCACTCGTTGTCACAGTCACCCCGTGAATCAATAAAATGCACTGATTTGGGCTGTAAATTTCCAAACATGTTCAGAGGAGCCAGCCCAACTCTACGAGCAAATTGTAGTTCAGCTGGCCCACTGTACCACCCTAATGCATACCTTGCAACGCCCCTGCCCGTGCTAAGAGTACGACTACTGATATTGTCCATAGCTGTCTTGCTGGTAGTGTTATGCTGTAGCATGGCCTTGACTGGACCTGTTCTATAAGTTATACTGTATGCTGTAGTACAGAATGTCAGGGCTCACCACGACCATACAAAGCGTCAATAACGGTCATTTGGATTTGACCAATCAGCGCACAGCAAAACGGGCTGTTTCTTGCAATTGTGGGGTGTTTTCTGAGTGGAGCTTGGCTGTATTCGTTGGTTTTAGACATTAGGCCATTGTGGATTCGTGTTCAGAAGGTGTGTCTTTGGGGGGTTACCGTCTCGAATTTTTCGATTTGGCCTTCGTTTGGCTGAGATCGGATGGTGAAATCACTCAAACGCGAAGGCGTGCAAACAAGTGAATGAAGAGAAAATTAGAAATCGGGGACGGTAAACCGATAGAGAATTCCAAGACCTTGAAAATGAGCTATCGATGATGAGAATCGGCCAAGGAGAACCGCTGTTCTACTTTTTTGAAGACATCAAGGTCGGCCGTGCGTCGCCGCGCGCACCAACAAAAACTGGCAGCCGTGCGCATATCTGCAAGTGCAACAAGAAAGGGCGGAGGAGACAGCAAGCGTTCCAAGTGAAGAGTTTACCTTCGTGTTGACTCAAGCTAAGGACTCATGCCAGTCAGGGATCATACTAGTCACCTCTCATCATGGTCATGACTAAGGGATTCATTTGTGACAAGGAAACTCCCCACTCGCAGCGTGAAAGCTGCGAGGCCAAACAGAAAAGAGTGTGCCGAGTCGCGATCAGGAAACGCTGAGTTCTACTGACAACATTGGTTAGCTAGGCGCGGCAAATTCTTGTAGATGCCAGGACTCAAGTTCACCAGTACCCCACGGACATATCTTGGTCGACACCCACCAGCGGATTGAGAAAAATGACCAAGATTGCTTGGAGAAAGGACGTCTTCTCCGCGTGTCTTTCTCGACATCAAACAACAAGATTCGCTTCGGCACTGGCCCTTCGCTGTACAGAGTAGACCAGGAAGTCGTAAAATACCGGTATTTTACGACTAGACTGTACATCGCCGTACATCGATGAGCATGAACTCGGGTGCGTAGCCGCTATGACTGCACAAACTCTGGCTTTGGCGGCATTCAAAATGGTGGTCGACGCTTTTTGAATTTTGTATGGTCGTGGTGAGCCCTGAATGTAGAAATCTTGTGCCTAAACAGCCGTTCAGTCACGATTTCCAGTGCTGTTTGTCTTTGTGCTTGCTACTGTGTTGTTTCATACGGACCGTTCTAAATCATGTTGTTTTTGTACTTTTCTGTGTGTGTGCATGCATGCGTGCGTGCGTGTGTGTGTCATGTATGCACATGTGTGTGTGTGTGTGTGTGTGTGTGTGTGTGTGTGTGTGTGTGTGTGTGTGTGTGTGTGTGTGTGTGTGTGTGTGTGTGTCCATCATGCGTATCTTGTGATTGTCTGTGTACAGTACTCCAAGCATCAGAAAATGCAGCGTCTGCGCATTTTCCACATCTACTTGTTCAGATTGATGTTTGGTCGTGCGGGAGACTTGAAAGGACCTAACTCTGATACTGAGTGAGTATATGTAGTACTTTGGTAGTGATACATTCACCACTGTGCAGTCAGTGTCACACACCACTGTGCAGTCAGTGTCACACACCAGTGAGTAGTGCATCGTGCACTGTCACACACTAATGAGAAGTGCATACAGTTACACTGTACAATGTAATGAGAAGTGCATACACTATGCAGTGTCACACACACACACAGTAACGAGAAGTGCATACACTATGCAGTGTCACACACACACACACACAGTAATGAGAAGTACATACACTATGCAGTGTCACACACACACACACACACACACAGTACTGAGAAGTACATGCACTGTACAATGTCGCTAGTGAGTAGTGCATTCACCACACAATGTCACATACTAATGAGAGTGTATGTACTCGAAGTACTGTACATGATCACACGCTAATGAGAGGGTGCATGTGCAGTACAAGGTTACACATTAATGAGAAGTGCATCCGCCGTACACTGTCACACACTAGCGGTACTAAAAAGGTATATTCTACTCAGTTGTACCTCCAGACTCTGTCGGAGGACGAGTGTTTGGCAGTTGCATCAGCTTTTTGAATTCCCATCTTCTCGAGAGAACGGCTGAGGACATGGCCAGGCATCGTGACCTTTGTCACTACTGCTGCTTGTGTACATTGCTGCAGATATCACTTGTGACTACTCAGTGACTGTAATAAGTAGGACATACATGTAGGCATGTACACTAGGCATGTACACTGTTGGTGGGTGGGATATTTGTATGGTGGAGAGGGGTGGTACAGTCGACCTACCCTTATAACGATAACCTCTATAACGATATTACCCTTATAACGATATTTTTCTGCCAAACCAAATCACTCCATTGACTTGTGTATACAATGCCTTACCTCTATAACAATATTGCTATAAGTTTCCGTGCATGGCACGGTAAGTCTGTCCCCGGGGAAAATTGCGGGAAAAAATCGCAAAAAACGCGGGGGAAAAACGCGGCATAATATGGCATAATTTGCGGTGAATTTGCGGTAAATATGCGGTAAATATGCGGTGAATAATATTGATGTGCGGAGATTTTCAGTGAGTATGTAGTGAAATCAATCAGTTACAAGTCTCTGGTGTAAGCACTCGTCATATTTGAGTAAAAAGCCGCCACGATGAGACGTTGCTGACCGAACAGTGCGTTGTGTGTACGTGTAGTGCAACAAAAAAGTTCAAAAAACGCGGGAAAATCGCGGAAAACGCGGTCTTTTAAAAAATCGCAAAAAACGCGGAAAAAAACGCGGCCGCGGAATCGCAATTTTCCCCGGGGACAGGTAAGTGGAGTTATGCCTGGTTCACACTAGGCCGATTTTCCGGCCGACATGGACTCGTACGAAAAATCCTCAAGATCGGGTCGAAAATTGCATAGTGTGAACTGTGTTGTCGTACAGGGTTCCGACAAATCTGCGGCGATTTTCTTGTCGCACTAGTTTTCGGCCAAGTATCGACTGGTCGATATTTAGCCGAAAAGCCGGCCGATTTTTACTGCTTGCACGTGATGGAGCGGTCATCGGACCAATCACGGTAGGCTTTTCACCATGACAGCAAAGAGCGTCGATGTCGAGCTCATGACCTCTTGTACTTTTGTACTCTGAGTCTTGATGAGATGTAAAGTTCTACCAAAATTTCATAACCCCCATGAACTCTTGCTTTTATGGATAATCGATGCGACTCTATTGCGAGTGAGTCGTTCCCCGTGTGTGAACAGGCCGTCCGACTCAGTCGACACAGTCGGCAGACTCCATGTCGGAGTCGGTGTCGGAGCACCGGCCGGAAAATCGGCCTAGTGTGAACCAGGCTTAAAGGGGAAGTTAAGGCAAAAATTAAAATTTCACCAGTTGTAGTCTTCGGGGTGCTGAGTCGAATGGTCGTGGTCCGAGGAAGCTGAGACGCTCCCTTCCTACTTGAATCCCAATCGAACTCACGCACTTCCACCGAAACTGGGTGACTGCGCCCTACTACATGGGGATTTGTATGCAAAATGTCACTAAAAGCGCCATTTCGTTCTTATAAAAGCACGGATGACCGCGATTGGCCCATATGTTGTAGTCTTTTGGACGCTGAGTCGACTGGTTTTGGTCCGAAAAGGCTGCGATGCAGCGTTCCTCCTTTATTCCCAATCGAACATGGTTGAACAAGTGGTCACGTGCTCCTGCGTACGCCAGTCACCTGGTCACCGTGCCTGCAGGGTACAACTTACTAGCCTGTTTGACCTTTTTTGGGTGCAGTCCTGTCACTCGAGTTGAACTCGAGTTGAACCTTGGTGTGAAAGTTGTCACCTGCTGGCGTGGTGACCAGGTGATTTGGGCACCCAGGCGCACGTGACCACTTGTTCAACCATGTTCGATTGGGAATAAAGGAGGAACGCTGCATCGCAGCCTTTTCGGACCAAAACCAGTCGACTCAGCGTCCAAAAGACTACAACATATGGGCCAATCGCGGTCATCCGTGCTTTTATAAGAACGAAATGGCGCTTTTAGTGACATTTTGCATACAAATCCCCATCTCGTAGGGCGCAGTCACCCAGTTTCGGTGGAAGTGCGCGAGTTCGATTGGGATTCAAGTAGGAAGGGAGCGTCTCAGCTTCCTCGGACCAAGACAATTCGACTCAGCACCCCGAAGACTACAACTGGTGAAATTTTAATTTTTCGTTGTTCTGCACTATTTTTGTTTCTATGCATAACTGGAAGCTTGCTGATCATGAATAACCAAGTACTTGGTGGGTTTCGGAATTTTTCAAATTCCTCAATATTAGACCAAATGTCGGTAATTCTTGGTATTCGTATGAACGTTAGAAATGTTCACTATTGATGTGGAAAACAGCTTTTTTCAGGCCAAACCCTATATGAGATGTGCTCCCCGGTCCTTTGGCAATACAACTGGCCTAAAAAATCAAGAGAAATTTGGTAATATTACATAAACACCCTGCGTCTTTCTTTGATGTTCCCAAAAGGGAACGTTGGCCGGATTCGATACCCAAATGTACCCTATTATGGTAAGTTCTCTGGAATCAAGCCATGCCCACATATCCCTTGTCTGAAGTATTGGGGAAGGTGAATATAACCGGAATAAAGACTTTTCAAGTTTCCATGGTGCCTTGAAAATCTCCATGGCAACCATAATTTTGTCGAACGGCTATTTAGCAATGCGTGGAATGAACCGAGGAGTCGCCTCCAAGGGGGTTGATTCGACACCGATCGATACAAAGTCCCTAAATTATTTGTTTTGTCTTTTTCGAAACTACAACAACTCGTTCAATAGACGTTACAAATTACAGAGGCTTCATGCATTCATCCTGATCCGTTGCTGCTTTTCCCCGCGCGCGGTTGAATTTTTGTCAAAAAATAGCGTATTTTGTAGTAAGGTATGGCTGATGGAGCTTTCTACGGGAGGAGAGTCCTTCCTAAAAGGACATCCAGAATAGTTACACTGCTGGAAGCTGAGGAAGCTGTTGAGAACTCGGATCAACCTGAGAACCTGGTCATTTTGCCGCCGAGCACTGGTGACGCAAATGTCGATAGCGATGTTGAGGACGGGCGTGATGATTTACTGGATGACGACCATATCATGGAACCTGCAGGAGAGATGGAGCTAGATGAGTACGAGTCTGAGGATGAAGATTATGAAGTTCATGGCTCTGATGATAGCGAGGATGAGGGTAGTGGTGAGCCTGCGGCAAAGCGTACACCCGCGGGTGCGACACGCTGGATGAAGAGGACTGCTTTCGACACCATCCTTCCTGAAATGGAACTGCCCTCATTTATTGACGATCATCCTGAACTTATAACGGCGTCGCCTATGGATCTCTGGCGAGGAATATACACACCTGCACTCATCGAGAAGATTGTAGATCAATCATTACTGTATGCAGCACGGGAAAAAAACAACGACAGCTTCGGCTTGGAGGCAGTAGATCTGGAGAGATTTCTAGGAATCCTTCTTCTTTCTGGTTACCACACTTTGCCAATGGAGAGCGACTATTGGTCAACGCAACCAGACCTCGGAGTACCACTTGTACAAACAGCGATGAGCCGTAACCGATTCCGATCGATCAAACAATACCTTCACTTTGTGGACAACCAAGCTCTACAAGAAGGAAATAAAGTGGCAAAGGTGGCTCCGCTATATGACAGCCTCAACGAGCAGCTGGTAAAGTGGAACATCTTCCATCCTCTGCTGAGTATCGACGAGTCGATGGTCCCGTATTTTGGCAAACACAGTGCGAAGATGTTCATAAAGGGGAAGCCCATCCGGTTCGGCTACAAAATTTGGTGTTTGTGTGGAAGTGATGGATTCCCGTACCACTTGCAAATTTATACCGGTCGCCAAGAAGGCAGGCCAGTGAGTCCACTGGGCCTGAGAGTGGTTGGCGACATGGTCGATGTAATTCGAGTCCACTCCGACACCCGCTGCCACGAGTTATTCTTCGACAATTTCTTCACCAGCTACAGCCTTTTGGAAATCCTGGCCGAGAAAAACATGCGTGCAGTCGGTACTGTTCGGGACAACCGCACTGGAGGTGCTAACCAGCGTTTGGTCTCAACAAAAGAGCTCAAGAAGAAGGCCCGAGGCACATTTGATTACCGCTGCAACGGAACCGTGTTCATCTGCAAGTGGAATGACAATTCTGTCGTGAATGCCGCCAGCAACTATGCCACACACGAGCCCCTTGCAACTGTGAAAAGGAGGGTGAAGAATGTGTCTAACACCACTGTCACCCAGCCACATCTCATTCAACTCTATAACAAGGGAATGGGCGGTGTGGATCTTTTCGATCGGCTCCTGGGTTCTTATAGCCCACGCATCTCCGGCAAGAAGTGGTACTGGGCATTATTTGTCAACCACCTGAATGCGACCGTTGTAGCTGCTTGGCGTCTGCACTGCAAGGTTCACGAGAAGCCTATGTCCCACATCGAGTTTCGTCGTGAGATCACCGTCAGTTTGTTGAAAACCGACCTTCGCCCAGAACCACG